AATTGGAGACCTGACACTGTGTGGATGCTATGTCCCACAGACACCCCACCTGAGGAGGTAGTGTATTTAAGCCCTGTGTCCCTCAGGGCTATGAACGAGCACTTTGCTGTCAGTCTCTTGAACTCTGTCCTTCTAGTTAATGATGGTCTTTGTAAAAGAGAAGAGGGGGGCAGCTGGGGAGAAGGCTCAGTCAGCTAAGTGATTGCAACAAAAGCTTGAGGACCTGAGTTCAGATCCCCACAGTAAAAGTCAGCAAGGCACCCCTCTATAATCCCACAGTAAAAGTCTCTATGACACTCCTCTATAATTTCACAATAAAAGTCCCTGTAGCACCTCTCTACAATCCCAGCACCAGGATGACAGGGATAAAAGGTTGTTGGGTTCTCTGGTCTCTATGGCCAAAGTGGTGAGGCTCAGGTTCATTGAGAGGCCCTCTCTCATAAAAAGAAGGTAGAGAATAATTAGAACATCTGGTATCAGTCTCTGGTCTCCATGTACTCATGTGTGCATACACATGCGTGCGTACATACACACACACACACACACACATATACACACGAACACACAAACATGCACAGGCACACATACACATATGCACATGCTCACACACACATGCATACATATATATACACATGCACACATACAAATATAAATACATACAAGAAAACTGAATTCAAGCTCTGCTAATAGAACCTTTCTCTACAGTAATTTTTTACAAATAACTAGTTGTCTGAATAAACATTTGTGTGTATGTTGCATGTGTTCCTGTGTGTGTGTTGATATGTGTGTACAGTTGCACGTGTACTATAAGCCACAGCACAACCTCAGATGTCCACTGCTTTTGTTTTTCTGTTTGTTCTTGTTTTAAGTCGGGTGCCTCTCACTAGAGAGGCCAGGATGGCTGGCCCACGAACCCTGTCGACCCACTTGTCCTCTTCCCTAGTGCTGGGATTACAAATACGAGCCTGCATATTCAGGTTTTGGCTTGTTTTTAAGAAGGGTTCTGGGGATGGAACTTAGGTCCTCCCGCAAAGCAACCACTTTGCCAAATGAGCCACTGGTGGCCCTGGCTGTCTGCTACAGCACGTATTGGGTGGTGTTGAACTGGGGAGAAAGCGACCATTAATGTCCAGTAATATCATCGAGGAGCTCTGAGTCTGCCTGGAAACATACTCCACAAGAGGGAGGGGAAAGTGAGTAAATAAATAAATGAGCGCAGAAAAGTCCTGAGGTTTTTCCTTACTCAGCTAACCTTTTGCTGTTGCTTCCCCAGAAAAAGCAAGCCCCCTTGTTGTTTCTCTCACCCACCCCTCAGTACAAGAATCCTTGTGGTTGAGTGAGGTTGCACCCTTACTACAGAAGCCATAGGCTATCAACAGCAGGACTGGTCTGCAGGGACTCTCCTATGACCCTTCCTAGAGGGAACAGGCTACTGGTTATAGCCCCACGGTGACCCTATGAGACAGAGCTGGTCCCTTCTGCCTGCAGCAGCATCTCTGTGACAGCCCCATGCTCCAGACTTCTTCTGTAAGGCCTCTGACACCGCATATCATCCAGGGAGCTCTATTTAAAGCTTTCTAAAGACAAAAGTGAGGAGGACAATTATATAGATTGCAGGGACCAGAGGAAGGAGCTCCAGAGAGAGAGAAACTCGGAGTCAGTAACAATGTAACACAAACAGCTCAGCAAATAACAGAGCAATTTCCAGCTAATAGGACGGAACACCTGAATCCATTCACATGCCTGATTAGACACCAACAACGCACACCCATAGAGGAAGATTATAAGTTGTAATATGTCTTCCCAGAAGCAGCATCTTAACCACTGTTTGTATACTTCTCCAATTACATTCCTTTAATTGTTTCATTTAGAAAACAGTTTACATTATAATAGCCGGCATCACTTCTGTTTTTAAAACAATTGGTTGTATGTATATTGCCAAATTATGGGTCTGTGGGATATTTTCATAAGTGAAAACAACACAAAGAGGCTTTGAGAAGGATCTTCGGTTGGGAGCCCATGACCTAAGGGCCTGCAGTGTAGAGGGGGCAATCGTTCCCCTCCCATGCCCAGCTGCCCAACATTCACAAAGAGGCACGGCGAAGGCAGAGAGACCCTGCTGGGCTTTGGGCCTAGCTTGAAAGATCATGAGACTATACCAGAACCAACCTTGAGAAACAGGTCATCCATGTCAACCCATCTCAGAGATGACAATGGCCAGTGTGCATGAGAATATCTGAGCCTAGCCCGGATTCAGACTGTGCCATGGAGCCCCACAGAGGCAGAGCCCATGGAAGTGAAGAGAGGCCCACTGTTATCAATACTGAGCTTCAGAGGCCTCTGCCGGTGTTAGGAGGAAACCATGGCTCACACAGAGAAACTATGGTGGCTGGAAGAAGAGGACACTGAGGCTCAGGACAGGCGACATGTCCAGACCACTAACCAGTAAGAGGCTCAGCCAGGAAGGGAATCACGCAGTCTGACCACAGTGAACACAGCCTGTCCAGAGTGCCACTAGACTTGAGGCATCTCCCCCAGGAGCATCCCTAAGCAGAAAGGGACTTTTTCTCTTTTGTTTTTTGCTCCAAAGACAGGGTTTCTCTGTATTGCTTTGGAGCCTGTCCTGACAGTCCCTCTGTAGACCAGGCTGGCCTTGAACTCACAGCTGCCTCTGCCTCCTGAGTGCTGGGACTAAAGGTGTGTACCACCACCACCTGGCATAGGAAGGAAGTTCTACAGCAAGGAAATGGGCAGAGATCTACTTTGTGCTTCTCCCATGGGTGCTGTGCACAAAATGAGCCTAAGCAGGCTTCAGAACACAGACAGATGCAGCAGGCAGGCTGGGGCCCCCAGAAGCTTTCTGCAAGGATGTTAGCTGCACAGATCACGGCCTGAACTAGGAACCAGGGTATTTTCTAAACTGTCATCTCTTTGTGTTTCTATCGCTTGAATTCTCCGTGGTAAGTATGTGCTGTATTATTTACTGCAATAACAGAATGCTCCAAGATGCTGAGTACTGAGCATCAGAAATGAGGACAACTGTGTTTTCCTTCTTTTGCCCTTCCTGGATTCATATGTTTCTAAAAGTTAAAGCAAGAAGGAAATCCTGCTCATTGAAAAGGAGCCATGAGGCTAGAGAGATGGCGCAATGGCTGAGAGCACTGGCTGCTTGTCCAGAGTATCCGAGTTCAGTTCCCAGCACCCACGTGATGGTGAAAAACAGTCTGTAACTCCAGTTCCAGGGGCCTTGATGCCTTTTTCTGGGGTACACCTATATACATGCATACAGCATACCCATACACATTTAAAAAGCAGTAAAATGGGCAACCCACACCTGTGAGCCCAGCATTTGGGAGGCACAGGCAAGAGGATGGGGAGTTTAGTCATTCTTGGCCACACACTGAGTTCAAGGCCAGCATGGCATACCTGAAGCCCTGTTTCTAATGCATTTATTTAGTTATTTTTATTTTTATTGTATGTGTACTGGTGTTTTGCCTGCATGTATGTGTGAGTGTGTTAGGTTTCCTGGAACTGGAGTTACACAGTTGTGAGCTGCCATGTGGGTGCTGTGAACTTCTAGAAGAGCAGTCAGGGCTCTTAACCACTAACCACTGAGCCATCTTTTCAGTCCTAATGTTTTTTTTTCCAGTTATAGTTTTAAAAAATATCAGTGTTTGCCTCTTTCTCCTGAAAACATCTCAGGAGATACAGGAACCAAATGCCTGGGACTCAGGACAGCCCCTCCACCAAGGGTACAGCAGAGGTGGGTATCCACTTGTCCCAGACCAGATTGAGTTAAAGTGTACTTTCAATGAAATGGCTGCCAAAAGATCAGTATTCTGAATTCCCTCCTTGTCTTAAAACTTCTTAAAAACATCATGCAAAGGGAGGGTTGTATAAAATTCTTGCTAAAGGGTAGCAAAGATCAGAGGAAAATTTGGGGGAACTAGTCTTTAAACTGGAATCCCAGGAGGCAAATGATACAGACTGCCTCCACCCAGTAAATCCAGTGCCTCTGTAGACAAGCAGCAAGAGCTCTGTGGCCTGGGAAGCCCAGACACCATCTCTCTATAGCTCTGGCAAAGCTGATGACTTGTTTGGCCAGTGGGCTATCAGGTGTGACACAGGAAGGAAAGGCTTGTCTCTAGTGGGTGTGTTATCTCCTCAGGAGTGACCAAGCTCAATGAACCAAGATGGGAGAAGAACCAGACCCCCACAGGTTAAAGGCATGAAGCCACACTGGACCACTGGATGGTTTAGCCCTGCAGAGCTAACCCTCAGAGTTATAGATGACAGTTATTTATGAGTTGCTTTAGGAGACCAGGTTTTGGGATGACTATACAGATTGCCTGCTAGAGCGAGTCTTCTCAGCTAGCCCTGGTCCTGAGTACTGCTGGGCCTGCATAGAGGATCCATTACCACAGCATCTGACATCTGACTTCCTAGACAGTCTTACAGGTAGCAGTCACAGCTATACCACTGACCAAGCATGGCCTCTGGCCATGTCTCTTTGACTTCACTCAACTGAGCTACAGATTGGAGAGCTGGGGCCACATGTCTGGATCCTATTCAAACATGTTATTAGCTCACAGGGCTCAAGCCTTGACATCTGTGTGGTCCTCGGTGCTCTGTCTTTACAGATACCACAAAAGCTGGATTTCTCATTCTCTGAGATTGATTAGTTAGGTCTACCAAGAAAGCCTCACACACCATCAACTCTCTATACCAACAATAAAGTGCCAAGGGTTACTGGTGTCCAACTGCCCTAGGGTGCCCACTGAATCTGGAAGGCACTGTGGGCCCATTGTGACCAAGTCTGTTCCTGCCCCTTGATCCTATCAGCTGTGCTGGGGCCATGGGTAGGGTCCTGGGAGGCCACCTGTGAGACACAAGGCTTATGAAAATAGTCACAGGGAGTGCCCACAAGGAATATTTAGGAGTGTGGATGGGATGAACCCCACACAGGACAGGACCCCAATTCACTATCTAACCATGCTGTCATAAGTTCATGACATAGCACATACAGTGTAATGAAGAAAGAATTCTGATGGTGATGTCACAGGTTCTGGACATTCTGCGTATCCAGGAGACCAAGGCTGGGGAAGCTGAAGACCTTCCAGGGAAGGGCCTCCTCCGGTGATTAGAGGGACCATGGCAGCGAATATGGGAGTAGAGACCTTTGTATCTGTCTTCCTGCTGTGCTGCTGGCAAGGAGCTGAACTACAGCCAATCAATGCAACTTCAGGTAGGGTCATGTGGAGGGGAGTGGATGCTGTGGGAGAAACCTCCACCTCTGTGCCCTCTTCCTTCCTTGGAACTTGAGGAATGAAGAGAATTGGAAGGTTTTCCATCTTGGAATGCCTTTCAACAGGACTGCCATGGAGCAGCTAAATATATTATTCACTTGTGTTGTTTACTAACTTAATGGAAATGTGCTTACTTATCCCAAGGTAGAGGAATAATGTCACAAACATTCATGTATCCATCCCCTGTTTTAATAACTGCACATTTCTCAACTACTTTTTATACACACATATGTATGCATGAACCACACACATACATATATAGACACAAACATAAACATGTACACATACATTGACACCAATACAATCAAATGCACGCACGCACACACACACACACATACACACACACACATCCTTCTTTGGGGGAACAATTAGCTCTGTCTCAATATCTAATGACCCTATGAAGGGGAAAAGCATATTTTTAATATGCCAGTCGCATCCTTGTCACACTAATAAAGTTAACAAAATCTTTTATTGTACCTAGTACTAGTGAAAGACACAGTATTCCTGGTGTTTGTTAGTAATGGTCAGGTAGTCAGATGTGGTTGCACATGCCTTTAATCCTAGCACTTGGAGGCAGGGGCAGAGGCAGATAGACCTCTTTGAGTTTGAGGTGGACTAGGACTACATTAGTCAGGGTGGATAGTACAGCGGAGGTTCATAGAGGGAATGAGGTCCATGTCCCAGGAAGAGAAGGAACACCCCCAGCCTAGGAGAAGGCAGAGTGATGGACAGAAGTTGCTAGGAGGTCAAGTAATTCTTTACTGGCCGACCTAAGGGTCCTGTGCTGTGGGCAGACAGGGGTGGTGAGTGGGGGAGGTGCCATCTAGTCAGGAACTGCAGGTGTTCTAACACTGGCAAGGGCTTCTATGGGCATGTCTCTGCACATGTGTCTCTGTGGCACACCTGGGAAGGCTAAATGAGAGCCTAGGTCAGGCAGGCTGCATGAGAAAGACATGGCCGGGAGCAAGCCACAGAGGCAGCCCCTCCTCATCCTTTGCCTTTTCAACAGCATGATTAGTTTTTAGATTCCTCCTATGGGATTTGCTGTTGCACAGCCAGGAATATAGCTAGAACAATTTCTATGAAAAAGAAAAGAATCAAGGCAAACAATCTCCATACATATAAATTAAAAGAAAATTAGAGTGAGCCATAAACGGGGCGTGGCAGCTCAGGCCTGCAATCCCAGCATTTGGAAGGCAGAGTCAGGAGGATTGGGAGTTGCAGAGCCCAGAACAGTGGAAGGGATCCCTAGATGCCAGGCCATTTTGGCCAACAGTGAGGGTGGCAAGTGGCCCCGGCAGTAGTATGAGCATCAGCCTTAGCCATGGCTATCCCTGAGGAGTACAGAGAGATGAGTTTTGTGTCCTGGGTTTCAAGGGATGGTCCTCAGATTTCAGCAGTCAAGTGTGCCAGGTCAGGAGAGAAAGAAAACACGATCAGAAGGCTCTGCTCATAGAAGACAACAGGGAAACCCCGGTTCAGGACACTGTCCAGATTCAGGGACAGTGATGGGAAAAAAAAAAAAAAAAAAAAAAAAGGAAAATAAAGTTTATCAAGAGACCAGGAATGGAAGGAGCTGGGGGGAGGGGGAAGGGGGGAGGAGCCACAGGTGTACACTGCAGTTTCCAATTAAATCTTTATTTATAATCAAAGGCCAACAAAGTGGCATGACTCCTGGCTATAAATCTCACCTCCATGGCTTCCATCTGCTTACTTGTAAAAGAGAGGTACCAGCCATGTTCCATTTCAAAGCTGTGATTCTTGGGACTGTTTATAGGGAAATCTCAGACACGGCTTCTCCAAGCCTCTAGGAAGCTAGGTGCTACGAGCAAGGGGTTCATTCCAAAACCTGGGAGGGTTCCTGTGAGGTTCCTAGGCTACTAGGAAGTGACCCTCCCATACATCCACAAGATTGGACTCCCCAGGAGCCAGGTGCCAGGTGGGTGGTCCAGGCCACAGCCTTAGTTCCTCACATCTGATTCTAAGTATATGGAGTGGGAAGGCCAAGATGATGCCTTGGTCATGTGGCCCAAATTTCCAATAGCGTTCTTACAAGGGGAAAAAAAAGTCTTGGAGTATGTGTGTCTATGTGTGTGCATGTTAAACGTTCTTGCATGTAAGCGCACCTATATATATGGAGGTCAGATGCTATCATCAGATGTCTTCCTCAATTACTATCTACTTTATTTTTAAGAAAGGTTATCTTGGGCTGGAGAGATGGCTCAGCTGTTAAAGGCTAGGCTCACAACAAAAATACAAGAAAGGTTATCTTCCTAAACCTGGAGCACATTTATTTGACTAAACCAGCAGGCCATTGAGCCTCAGGGATCCTATTCCTCTGTCTCCCCAGCTCTGGGGTTATAGGCATGTACTACCACACTTATATTTTTATGTGGGTCCTGGGGATCTGAGTTCAGATTCTCATGTTTCCACAGCAAGCACTATCCACCTGGCCCAAGAACATCATGAGCTGAAGAGATGGCTCAGGAGTTAAGAGCACTGGCTGCTCTTCCAAGGACCCTGGTACAATTCCCAACAGCCACATGGCAGCTCACAACTGTCTGTAACTCCACTCTCAGGGAATCTGAGACCCTCTTACATCCTCCATTGGTATCAGGCATGCAAATAGTTCATAGACATGCCTGCTTGGCACACAAATAAGTAAGTAAATCTTTAAAAACAAATACACTTGAAAAAGTACAATTTCAGGCTGGGTGTGGTGACCCTTAATCCCAGCACTCAGGAGGCAGAGGCAGGTGGATCTCTGTGAGTTCAAGGCCAGCCTGGTCAACACAGTGAGCCCCAGAACAGACAGCTATGAAGAGGTCCTACCTCCAAAAACAAAAATCAAAACGAAAATAAATTCAAAGCTGCTCCAAGTTAGTGGACAACTAACTTTAAATGTGCAGATCAAGCCCAAAAGCACCAACAATGCTTCATAAGATCTGAAACCGCAGTCCCTTGGCCCTGGCTCCACCAGGCCACAGTCTGTATGCTTCAGGGACCCATCTGCTCCTTCATGTATCTGGTGAGGTCCCCAAATCCCAGCAGACAATGTTGGAGCCACGGGCAGTTAAAGTCGTCTCTTAGAGTGTCCTAAGACTCCTTGCAGACAAGCTTGGACTATAGGTGAATACACCTCCTTTCAGAAAAGCATCCAAGAAAAACAAGAATTGTCTGCAAAGAACCCAGGCTCTAAAACCTGCCATGAGTCCACCATTCCGAGGTCAGCAGAAGATTCTCCATACAGTGTTTTATGTCAGAAAGTGCAATGATGAACGATCACAATGTCCAGGTACCCATCGCATCTAGTAAAGACAAGCCAAATCTATGGGAATCGCAGCTCCTGGCACCTGACACGTCTTCACAAAGGTGTGACACAAAAGGATTCCATGCTGCTTACCCCACGAAGCTTCCCCCTACATTTTCACATCACAAGTAAGCTAATTACCTTACGATCTGTCTTTCACAGGATGACAGAACAAATCCCAGGAGATTTTCCAGGGGCCTCTGGGAAATTTCAAAGTTAGCTTGAGGTCAGAAAGACTGCATTTAAAATTTAATTCTGAGGTGTCAAAAACTGTCAAACACTTTGAGGAGTTGACTGAGATCACAGGCTACTATGAAACAGTACTTAGCTTCCCAGCCAACTAAAATAGCAAACGATTTCCAAGGGAAATAGAGGAGAGAGATAGTTGTTAAAGGGGGGTGGGAACCAACCTTCGTTCTCTCACTATTGAGAGGGTTCCACTTTCTTAAGTAATAAAAAGTTTGAAAAGACAACACCAAGCACAGGAAATTATTTTGGTAAGAACGGAGCCTTTGTCTACAAGGGAGGTTACTCAACAAGTAAAGAAAACACTTACAGTTGCTTATGAGGAGGAGGCCAATAGTCCGAGGACTCTGCCCTTTCAGCAGAGAGAGCAGCAGAGGCCGTTCCACATGGCCGCACGCCTGATACCGGAGCTCATTTCAAAACCTGACAATGGCCATCCATTTACCCAGCCCAGCCATGGGAGATTAGATTTCCCTTCTTTTTCTCATAGACCCTTCACACCTTACCCTAGCGGTTTAGGCTTTTTGTTCCTGTTTTTTCCTCTTTATTAAATAACTTTAAAACTATTTATGGCAAAATTACTTTCTTCTTTCTTTAACAAAGATCCATCCTTTATGTCTCGTGGCTTTCCTTATCAAACACAGACCACTTTCACTGAAGCCTGCTTGCAAAGTCCGTCTCTCTTTCCTATGAGTCACAGGAGTTTTAATTACACACACAAGTAGTAATTTGAATGGAAAAAACTTAGAAACTATGACTTATTGGTCACAGTACTTGGTGGCAAGTTTACTGAGTTTCCATCTTACAAAGCTTAGAGACTTGATTGTATAATTTCAGTGGGTTCAGGTGTGTGCATTTACACAGGCATGTATGCATGTATGTACATGTGTGACAGTCACGTGGAGATCAGAGGGCAGCCTCAGACAGAATCTCTCATTAGCCTGGAACTTTGTCTGTGGTGACAGATTGTTTATGATCTAATAAAACTTGTCTGAAGATCAGAATGCAAAGCTAGCCACAGCCATGGAGGCCAGGCAATGGTAGTACATGCCTTTAGTCCCAGCAGCCACACTAGTTAGCCATAGAAGCCGGGGATGATGGTGCATGCCTTTTATCCCAGCACTAGAGAGGAATATAAGACCATTCAAGATCTCATGTGGTATTCAGTCTCCAGCCACACTGAGGATAGGATTGCCCCAGCTTTGATAGAGATAAGAGCTGGTGGCTGGCAGCTTTGCTTTTCTGATCTTCAGTTTGAACCCCAACATCTATCTCTGGGTTTTTATTATCTATGCTACATTTGTCATAAATAGGCGAAGCTGACTCTCAGGCTCAGAGGGGTTACCCTGCCTCTGTCCTCCCTCAATCAATTGCTGGGGTTGTAAGTACATGCTGCCATGCTTCTACGGGGATCTGAATTCAAGTCCTCATACTTGCAAGGGAAGCACTTTGTCAGCTAACCCATATCCCCAGCTCACCACCCATCATTTTGAATATGGCAGAAGCAGCTTCCTTATTAACAGAGCCAAATGCATTTAATATTCTCTTTGTATATAAAACAAGAAGGCAAGAATGTAAACATAAATTTGTTCTTAAAGCAAATGCCTCAATAGTTTCCATTATTTAGAAGTTCTATAAAACCCTACTAATGGTAGCAGCACTAGGATGGTTGGAAACTGTCTCTAAGTAGCTTTTTTCTTTAACACCCAGAGCCCAGACTGGGGAGGTTCAGTTGCTCACAGAGCACTGCAAGCCACAGAACTCAATGAGTGTTGAAAGATATGCTTCAAAAATGGAATGGAGCACACACTCAGGAGGGAGTGTAGGCTTCTCAAAGTAGAATCAAGTTTGTGTGTTAACCAAGGGCTGGAGAGATGGCTCAGCTGTTAAGAGCACTGGCTGTTCTTTCAGAGGTCCTGGTGCTATATATACATGATCATGGTGACCTCTACAGTTACACTGTCCAAAGGCTGTCTTTGTTTTTCTCTATGAGATTTTACATTAATACATGAGATGTCAACGTGTTCTGGCATACACTGTGTAGATCTACAAGCTGGCAAGTTAACTGGTTAAAAGGCTAAGGAATTTCCACCAATAGTCCATTAGGATGTCTATGCATAGGTTTTGACTATAAATATGCATTATTCCGTTTGTGTGACTTACTCAGAATAGTGGTTTGTTGAGAAGGGAGAACAGTGAGGCTGAACTCAAAGGATCGAGGACATTTTAGCTTTAAGCTGTCTCCACGGGATTACGTTCTTTCCTGGATAAAGGAGTATAGTTCTTTGCAGGTAACTGTCAGTGGCTTGTGTGATTCCTAAACAAAATCCAGGGGCAAAGGGCTCATTCCTTTGCTCATGTCCTCTTAATTTTCTCTTTCTATCCTGCCTCAAGATACCCAATCCACACTGAAGTATATCCACTGACTCAGAATGTCCTTTAGATCAGTTTAAGCCAAGCCCCAAGCAGGGTCCCATGTGACTTTTGTTTTGAGACACTTCTGGGCACACTCAACCCACATCCTTCCTTCCCATCAGCCTTCCTCAGAGATAGTCAAGGACCAAGACTCACAAAATGAGCCCAACTAATGTCCCCACCTCCATCTCCCAGGGTGAGCAAGTCATCTCTGACCCCCACAGGGCTTATGGGACTCTCCTCAGTACAATATGATGTGCTGGCCTGAATGCTGGTCTATACAGGACAGTCTAATCTGGTTCACTATTTAGCCAAGGGCAGGAAGTCTCCAGGGTTCAGCAATGGCATGAACTATGCCAGCATCCCTACTTTTCTTTCACTTAAGTTCTGAGGTGCTTACTAGGAGATACTGGGGCTGGGAAAATAGGCATAGCACCCACATCTTTGCCAATAATTCTGCCATAACCACATGTCCATACCTGCATATGGCTGCCAAACCCAGCTCTTGCTTGTCCCAGAGAATCCTCAGCAGGTATTTGTTGAGCTTGTTGCTGCTGCTGCTGCTGCTGCTGCTGCTGCTGCTGCAAGTGGCCACTATGACCTCTAGAGTCCTGGTCAAAGCCTTAATGACATCCAACGTCTTCTCCAGCTTGAGACCCAGTTCTAACCTGGGTGACTCCTGAGGGTTTTTGCCAGTATAAGACCTGAATGACCTCTGGGTGGAATCTCAAGATTCTCCCAGCTTGAGACCTGGTCACAACCCTATGTGACTGCACAAAGTCTTCTTCGTTGAAAGGGCAGATGAAAGAGCAGTTTTCACACAGGTAGACTAATCCCATCTGGAGGCATTCCCACTGCGTGGAAGGAGAAGAGCTGTGCTGCTCTAGTGTATGGGTCCCTCACAGGGAGGTGCTGGCCACTGAGAGGAAGGACAACAATTTATATGACCCTCTTAATGGAAAAGGGCTCGCTCATGTTCACCCAATTAAGCTGAGTAAACTCAGAAAGCAACAGTGAACTTCATGGAGCCAGAATGTGCTGACACGGGCACTGAGAAGACATCAGAGTGTCCTGACCTTGTCGGTGAGTGCTGTCTAGAAGCTACAACTTTCAGGAAGAGGTGACAACAGGAAAAGCACGGTAGAGCAGCTACATCTGACAATGCACGTTAACAGGCATGGACAACATGAGCATACACACCACGCATGTGCGCACGGCTGACTTGCACAATGCTTCCATTGTGATTACGGGACAGACACAAGATGAAAAGAATATTTTTAACAAAGTGCTGGCGCTGCGCAGCTGTACCCATTCGTAATGTTCCATTAATGTCTCATGCACAGAGAACTATACTGTATTTGCTTCATTTACCAAGGTCAGCACACTGGGAAGCAATTGTCATCACCATCACAGACCTCCTTACATATTTCCCATTGTTCTGAGCCGTGCAGATGAGCACATTGGGATGCAGATTGTCCATCATTAAAGCCTTTGAGAACAGCTTTGTCATTGGTTTAGCTGCAACTTTAGTTATCCCAGACAGAGCTCTGTGTCTCAGAAAGGGAAGGTATGGTGGCCCTACTTGCCATCTTTGGGGGTCCCAGGACCTAGGAGTTGGAAGAAGCCAACCCAGAGCTCAAACCAAGGGATATACCAGATCAAGAGACACCACAGCCCCCGAGATAAACAAAGGTCATGTCAGAAGGAGGAAGTGTGCACTGGATGCTGCAGAGGAGAAACCGGTCCTCAGAATTCCCACAGTGTTCAGATATAGGAAGACCTTATATGCCTAGCATAGCTCTTCCTGTCCATCAGGAAGCAGACATCACAGATATGACAGCTCTGGACCCTGGAGACAACGGCCATCAGATCCTTTCCGCTCACTCATCAGAGACCACTTCTCACCAGCAGACAGCACCTGGAGGGCTCTCCTCACACAGGAGGAATGAGGTGACCGGCCTCTGGCCCTCCCCTCCTCCGAGAGAAACTCAGGGGGCACAAGTGAGTGTGCAAGGTCACCCAGGGGCTCAGAGAGAAACACTCAGGAGGTGTTTCTGAGTCACAGGACAAAGTGAGTATTTGGCCGGTGACATGGAAAGCCTTAGTCAGAGGTTGGCCAAGTGCTGCTTCTAACTGTGTGTCAAGATAGGCTCTGGGCCGCCATGGGATCGCAGGCTGGAGTTTCCCAGTCTAGTGGCCATGCAGATGGTGTCACCAGGCATGCAGGAGGCAAAGTGCCACAAAACAAAGCATGTGACCCTCTTCCTTCTTTGTCCCTATGCTAGAGCTGAGTTGTCCCTGAGTGTGGACACTGTCTTACCATCCACAAGGGTGCCGCTAGTGACCAAGAGGGCAGGTTCTACTCAGGTCACCTGGGGAAATCATGGGTTCCACCCACACAGCGGTCCCATGGGTAATGCCTTTCCCATCTTCTGTATGAGAAACTCAAGTCCCAGAGGGCTTCCCTCAGCACACATGGGAAGGATCAGCACTCCACACAGGCTCCTTCATCTAGAGCAGGCTGGGGCCATCCCTCACTATTTCCTGTTTACAGAGGGTGAAATCAATGACACTGTAAAACTATAGTTTTTATGCCCCTCCCCACTCCTAGGTCCAGTTACTGAAGACTCACTCAATTCAACAACTGAAGAAATACCTGAAGTGTTTGGTAAGGCCCCCCATACCTGAAGTGTTTGGTAAGGACCCCCATACCTGAAGTGTTTGGTAAGGCCCCCCATACCTGAAGTGTTTTGTAAGGACCTCCATACCTGAAGTGTTTGGTAAGGCCCCCCATACCTGGTATTTGGTAAGGACCCCCATACCTGAAGTGTTTGGTAAGGCCCCCCATACCTGGTATTTGGTAAGGACCCCATACCTGAAGTGTTTGGTAAGGCCCCCCATACCTGGTATTTGGTAAGGACCCCCATACCTGAAGTGTTTGGTAAAACACTTATACCATATACCATTAGAACCTGGTATATGGTAAAAGAGTGGGACCTTTCCCAAATAACCTATCACCAGTTGCAGACATTGGAGAAACTGATTTGCTTTGAGGCCTGAGCCAAATTCTCCTAGGCTGAAGCTTTAGTGCCAACCTCAGAGTTAAATTTACCCTACCATTGATAAGACCAACACTGTCCCACAGAGATGGAGTATTGGTGCAGGTATAGTACTCCACTTTCTGGTATCCATATTCCAAAGAACATGGCAAGGACACTAACTTTAACTGCAGTCTGTCTGGACTCTAGGATACACAGGTCCCCCATGGGCTCCAGGTGGCTCACCAGCACTGTCCCTGGTCCTGAAAAGCATTCTGCTGCCAAGACAGAGGCTGCTTCCAGGTGCTGCTTGTTTAGCTCCTGTGTGGTCCCACATGATACAGGGCACCTTGTAAAAGCCATGAGATAAACTTGTCTCTGGCTTTACAGAAGGGCAACTGAAAGTCAGGGTGTGAAGAAAGTCCCCGAGATTATATCTGATTGAGAAAAGTAGCAGGTTGAGTCTGAGGTTTTGTGACTTTCTATCCAGGACACTTACGTTAGAGGCTTAATAGGAGAGATGGGAAGAGAATAGTGCATAAAATACAACCACATTTAGGTAAGACAAGATGCTCACTCATAGTAGGGGACAGAATGACAAGAGGGCAGGAAGGATAATCATGATAATGTCTGGAACCAGATTTTCTGCATTTTGTCGTTAGTCAGCCTTCCATTGCTGTGAAAAATATCTGAAGTAATAAACTTATAAAGAAAAAAGGGATTATTTTTGCTCTTGGAGCTTTCAGCCAATGGTTTGTTAGCTTTGGTGCTTGGGATCCTGTAGTGGAAGCACGCACATCATAGATGTGGTCTATGAAGTAGACGAGTATAGCACACTTCAAGGTATGGCTGAGAGAGAATTTCAAAACAAAGGGATCACAGATGCTCTGATTAATGAATGATTTAATCTATTGGTGGGTTCTGAACTTGAATAGACTACTAGAAAGTGGCATAATTCTGGAATATGGGACTTGTTGGGGAACCATGTTATCTTTGTGTGTCCTTGGGCACTGGGCCTTGGCCCCTTCTTGCCGCCACGCTGATCTGCCTTTTGTTGACATGACACAAGTAGTTCCTGTTGCACACTCCTAACTATCGTAAGAGTTTGCCTCACCGAAGGCCTAAAGTAAATGGTGTCAAGAGTATAGATGGATACCTTGCTCTCTAAGCCATCTATGTTGGGTAACTTGTCCCAGGAACAAAACCTAATGCAGATAATTGGCATCAATGACATAGGGTCATTGCTATGACTAACCTTGATAATATGATTCTTTAGCCTCTGAAACTGGTTTGGGGAGGGGGATAATTGAAAAGGTTGAAGATGAGAACTAGAGAAAGCTTGGGATACTATAAACTTGGCTAAGTGGGTGATTCTGCTGGAAGCTCAAACTGCCAGAATGCAATGGGAATGTACACAACAGAGGCCAGGTGTGATGAGTGGTTTTACGTCAATTTGACACAAGCTAAAGTCATCTGAGAGGAGGGAGCCTCCATTAAGAAAATGCCTCCATAAGATCAGGCTGTGCACCAGCCTGTAGGGCATTTTCTTAATTAGTGATTGATGTGGGAGGGCCCAGCCTATTGTCGGTGGTGTATCACTGGGCTGGTGGTTTTGGGTTCTATAAGAAAGCAGTCTGAGCAAGCCATAGGAAGTAAGTCAGTAAGCAGCACCTTCCATGGCCTTTGCATCAGCTCCTGCCCTGCTTGAGTTCCTGCCCTGACTTTCTTCAGTGAAGAACAGTGATATGGAAGTGTAACCCAAATAAACCCTTTCCTCCCCAAGCTGCTTTTTGGTCATGGTGTTTCATCACAGCAAAGTTAGAAACCCTAACTAAGACACCAGACTTACAAAGTTTAATATGGAAATGAAGACCCTATTGGGAACTGTACTGAAGTCTCTCACAGTCTCACCAAGAACTTGTCTATCTTTTGTGCATGTCTTGCAGCTTTATGGGAAACTGGGTTAAAGCTAACTATTTAACCCAGGAGAGGAAATTGTAACTTAGTCCCACTTTTAGGCTATGCCATGGCTACTACCGGATGCTTTTAGGCAGGTTTACCATGGGAACCAGGAGAAAGGGCAGAACGGAAAAACTTGACAAGTTTGCAGGCTGATCAGAAAAATCTGTGTAAGGTTGGGGCCAAGGAAGGCATGGTCTCTGAAAAGAGTATGGCTGCCAAAAAGAAGCCAAGGACCCTAAAGCATCAAAGACCTTGCAGGAGTTAACCAAATCCATTATAGGCTCAAGGTTTGAAAGGGAAAACTTAATTAAAAAGTGTTTTTTCTTTTGAGAACATAATTGCCCCTAGGGCACACCATGGGGCTGCCTGGGAAGTTGTTTCCCAGTATCTTTTTACAGTGCTCTGTCACCCAGTCCTAAAACACCAATATAGTCAGGGTCCAAGTGGACCCAGTTATTGTTTAAATTGGCTTCATCTACATGAGGCTGGCTTTGTAGACATACAGAATGTAAGAGTTACAGTTTCATGGACTCTTCCAACCATATTTCAAAACAAAGCCTGAGAAGATGGGGAAACATATAGCAGGGTCAAATTCCCTGTAAGAGAGCAATTCTGAGATTATAAACTTTAAACTGCAGCAGAGACCCAGGATGGTTGAATGTTTGTCAATGAAATCCACAGGCAATGAATATAGACAGCACAGGAAAGGGGCCATGGACTACAAACTGTCATGCCATAGGGACAGGACCACCCAAGCTCTTTTGAGCTCACAGAGACTACTTGCCCCGATGCCAGACATGGATCTACTGAACTTGGTGTTTCTCCTGCTATACTTTGGTCTTGCTTTTGGTGCACTTTTTCTTTGCTGTTCTGTTATGCTCCCTTTTCCCATTGGGAAAGGAAATGTGTACTATGTGACTTTGCATTTGGAAACAACTCATACCTTTTTATGGAGACTTACAGGTGAGACTTGCCTTCAGGCTCTGAAGGGTCTCTGTACTTGGGCTTTAGAAATGTTGAAATTGTAAAGATTATGAGGACTCATGGGGACTATCAGATTGACTGGATTGAGGCTGTTGTGAGTATTCCTTCCCTGGTAGACAGTGTCTAACCCTTACTCATAAGGCTCCAGTACAAACCAAGCATGGTTACACCAAAGTTCACCCTGAGGAGTAAATGAGCTGAGTGGGTTTGCTTATGGAGCTTGGGTAAGGGTTTACTACCAGCACCTCTGGTGACTCGAAAGCAGCACTGCAAAGTCTTCACCCTAGAAGGATGATGGCTTCAGTTGGAGTGCCCTTCAGTGTCCTTTCCCTTGGCTGTACCCTCTAGGCTCTCCCCAGGACTCCAGAGGCCATGTGCAATTAGGGCAGAATTGCATGCCAGTGGTGGGAGAGGTGGCTGATACTGAGGTGAAAGCTCAGTGATGCCACACCCTGTCTTTCCATGAGGGATGTCAATAGTCAACAAGCCCAAGCAATGGCTCCTTGCAAGCAGGCATTTTGAAGGTGACAGCTTCATCAGACATTTTGCTTGGAGGGCTGCATCCTACAGGAGACTCCTAGAAGCTTATAGAAGCACACTCCTGTGTGTTGTGTGTGAGGGGGTGTTTCCAGAGATGGTTAGATCATTAAGGCTGCAGCAGGGTGACTGGTTTAATCTGCCAGTAGATTCCAGATTTGAACCAATTGTTGGGATGTGAGGAAACTGTACAGTGGAAGATGAGAGATGAGGGATTTAAGGGATGTCTCTTTCCCTAGTTCCTTCCTGGTGGTCTTTATTCTGCTTCCTGGCTGCTATAATGTGAGCAGCTTTGTACACGCCACAATGGACCAAAACCTCTGAAGTTGGTAGCAAAATTACTCCTTTTTCCCTTGAGTTGTTCCTCAGAGCACAGAGATGATAAAGCTAACTAAAACATGGACATGGGGGCATTCAGACAACAAAGCTAACTAAACATGGATGTGGGGCCATTCAACACATGAGGGGCAAGGCTTAGGAAATGTCCAGATGGTGCCCACTTGTCTGAAATTGCTTAGGGAAGCAGTGAGTGACCAGCCCACCCTAGATGGGGTTCTCTGAAGACACCACCAGTTCCTTGGGTTCCCCTTTTCTACCTACAGTATTGATAGGCTGCCTGATGGGCACCCCACCTTTCCAGCTCTAACTTGTCCCTATATACTTTCTCAAGATGAAATCATAGCCCAAGAGCTTTTGGAGCCAAACACAACGGCAGTGTCTGAAACCCCACCATCAACAAAAGTATCAACAGTAAAAACAACAGAAAAAAACAAGGAAAAAAGCAAGTACAGCCCTTTCACCCCCATAATGGCATGCATTCCTAGAGCCCTGAGGTGTTGACTATGTGACTACATTTGGGCATTTACTTGAGCCAGCTATGGATGCATGAGAGAACCCTGAGTCCAAGGAGGAGTCTCCTCTGAGGCAGGGTGGCTTGCCTCACTCTGAGGTGATCTCTGAATCACATTCATGTGCATTCTGGAGCTGAGCATGTAAATGGGGTTCAGCCACTGCAGGAACACAGGCTTGCGGATGAGCATGGTCATTACAGTTTAACACATGCCATCTCATGACACTCACATCTCCCCAGGGAGCACAGCCCTTCTGCTATGACTTGTGGCCAAGGTAACACCAAGGTCAGTATATGACATGCCCAAAGCCAAGAAGAGCAGCAGACAAAGTTCATGCTTTGCACAGCACAGCCCCATACTGCATGACTGTTCAAACAGATGGTGTAATGGACAAGGGCAAGGAGAGGTCTGGGGAACCTGTGGGAAATGCACTCAGAGGCAGTGGGCTCAACACATGCTGGGAGTTTTGTTTTGTTTTGTTTTGTTTTGTTTTGTTTTTTTAAATGTTAAGATGTGACTAGATTTTAAGGATTTGCTCACTCCACATCTGTCTAGACACAAACCACTGGGCTCAAAGTAGTTAGAAGACACCTGACTATTTAAATATTAATTTCCCAACACTGTGCCACTGGTCCAGCCCAACATTGTAAAATAGTGATTACCCTGCACCCTCTGCCCCCTCCAAATCAAGAGTGTAACAAGGAAACCCGTCCCCATTTCTTTCCATCTTCATCCAAGATGCTGGTATTGATGAAAACTACCAAGAAGATGGCTCTGAGAATTACCACGAATTACTGGAGAATTTAGAACTCTCACCTATGAACAAGGAGAAAGCCGACACTAATGGTAAATATGCTCTAGTAATCTCCCCTGCTGAGCTAGAAGACTACCCAGGAGCCAGCATCAGATGCTTTTGATGGCTGCTCCACCTGAGTTAAGTAGACCTGCCCTGAGGCTGAGGGTCCCTCACCTCCTCAGGTGGACTCAACCATCCACAACCAGCGGGAATGTCTTCTCCCAGGTGTGTGGAAGTCAGGAGAAGAGGGGCCTCTCTTCAGGCTTCCATCTAAGTCACTGCTCCTCTATGGTGGAAGGAGATGACAAGACTCCATGGCCCTGGAAGTCAGGAAAAGCCCACTCTAGCAGAGGCAGAGCACAGTGGCTCTGGGAAGTTTGATGTTCAGGGGTGATAGATCTCCCCCTCCCCAAAGCTTAGATTAGATTAAGGTTAGGAAAGGAATCTGCAGCGTGAAGGACTTAGGTATAGTGCTCTGAAGTGTGCAGTGTGGAGGACTTAGATGGACTACTATGAAGTATGAAGCACACACAGAAACAGAACAAGGCTCCAAAGCCTAGAGGCTTCTGGCATAGGGCAGAAGAGGTCATGAATATGCATCCCTGGGCCCACTCTACACTCTGCTTGGGCCCTGAATACTGCATTTATAACCCACTCCCCACATAGCTTCTCCAAGGACTAGCCTCTGGTGTTGGCATGGATCTAAACACCATGGTGTTTCAGGGTATAAACACAAACAGAATTCTATGTAAAATGAGTGTTTACCAGTCCTGAGCTGGTCCCACTCAGAGATTTGTACAAATTGCTTGATGGTTTGGCACAGTGTTTGCTGAACAGTAATTCTTTATTTACTTAGTATCTTTTAGTAATTAGGATTATGATCTAAGCAATAGCTGCCTCTTCTTGATTACCTTCTTTACTCACAGTCACTAAGGCTGAGCACTCATGCCAACTAGAGCTGATAACTATAGTCATTTCTTCCTGTGCTGACCTCATTCTCCTATCTGTGGCCTTAAGAGTCACTCCTGTGTTCAATTGCCCACCCCCAAGATGCATGGGACTTATCTGGTGCCTCCCTGACCGTGCCTAGCTCCTTTTTCTTGCTAAGTCCCCCTAAAAGATCAAGAACCAGGTAGAGTGACATTGCTTAGCAAGCCAAGCCAGGAGGCCTAATGACACACACGTACATCTTTGTATCCATTCTGTCATTTTCTCCCCCCAGCTCACACAACCAACGCCTCTGTAGGGAGGGTATTTGCAAGCCCGAGAAGCTTCATATGTTTCATATGTTGGAAGTGTGTCTGAGGGACCAACTCTTAGCCAGGGACAGAGTAATCAAAAGATGGAGGAGGGGAGGTACGTCTTCCCATAGTGACTTAACTCATTTTCAGATAAAACTCAGAAGCAGTAGTAGCATTTCAGCCAAGATTTAAAAGCAAATGCTCCCCAGTGTCTACCGGTGTGTCACTCATTTCTTTTCCATGTTCTTCATTAAAGACAAAAGTACTGCTGAGAACATCCATGACAACAGTTCTCAGACCAAGCTTAAGCCACACTTCTCTTTTGAAGGTGAGAACATAATCCACAGAAACTGCCCTTCCCCGCAACATGGCAAGGCGGCCTCGCCTGAGGCAGGGGGTTGCACCCTCAGGTGCTAGGGGGCTCCTTCAAGGTCGCGGTTCTCTAGTCAGGAATGACTTTTGTTTCACATTTAAAGGCCACTCGCCTATTGTTTTTGCAAATGCCTTCATCGTATTGTCTCACTTTTGTCAATTTCTTGAGGGTTTCTTTCTCCAGTTTTGAAGTGAGATTTTTTTTTTTTTTTTAAGAACAGACGTGTAAACAAACCAAGTCTGTGATACTCATTGTAAATCTTTTTTCTAAATTTGTCAGTTGGATTTATTTTTAAGACTTATGTTATCCATATGTATGTGTGTTCTGCCTGCATGAGTGTATGCCACGTGTGTGCGGAAGCTTCTGGAGTTCGAAAGAGGGCATTGGTTCCTCTGGGACTTGAGTTACAGGTGATTGTGTGGTGTGATGTGTATGCTGGGAGCTGAACCTGGGTCCTCAGCAGGAGCAGTAATCGCTTCTAACTGCCTAGCCCTTAACTCAGCCCTCACTTTACTTTTGATGATTATAATTTTTCTTGCAAAAGACCCACCATTTTTGTGTACTCATAATAAATAATCTTTTGTCATTTTTAATATAGTGTTAGCCAGAGCCAACACTAAGGAGAAGTTACCATTTCCTCTGCTGTCTGTCACCTCTTTGGACTGCTTTGGAATGTCTGAGTAATATACTCTTAGTTTCACCTCTTCACATATGGCTACACATGTGTTATAGCATGACTTCCTCAAAAACCATCTCATCCCCATGATTTGCAGACCCACACTTGAAATATACCAGATCCCCAGGTGTGTGGTTGGTTCTGTCTGGCTTGTGCACCATGTTAATATGTTGGTGCCACAGGATTTCATTAAGGTTTCTGAGGTACACATCCCCTTCTCCCCTCTTTTTCCTGATTATTCTTGAATTTTTAATGTCTAATTTCCCTTCTTAAAAAAGAGCTTATATGTTTCCTATTAGTGTATGACGTCTTAGGAAATCGTTTAAGAATTGACCCTTTATAATGTTGTTACGCTGCAAAAACAGGTGATGTCTTTATAGTTCTCAAGTCTGATTTCATATATTAAGGGCATGCTTTTGGGTTTTCCTTGTATAGGTTTTTGGTTTGTGTGTTAAGTTTATTATTAAGATTTCAATCTCCTTTGTTTCTGTATAAAGGAGATGGTCTTCTATCCTGACCACTGTAGCTGACTTTTATTTGTAAATAACTTGTGCTAATATCATACCAACCTTGCATTCCTTGAATAAACTACACTTGATTATGTTCAGCATTTTCTTACAAAAGTATTGAATTGTCTTGCCAATAATTTATTAGTATATCTGAATCTAAATGAACAAGTGATATTAGTTTGTTGGTTATTAAATTCTGTATCAGGTTTTATAATGAAGAATTATCAGGTTTTATAATGAAGAATTAAATTCTGTATCAGGTTTTATAATGAAGAATGAAGATTTTCTCCATCTTAAAAATTATTTATTTATTACATTTGACTCTCTAGGGAAATTTATAGAGCATTGAAAAGCCCCACTCAATGGACTTACTCTGGCACCATCTTCTGAGGTATCTCCTTGATAACTTTATTTCATTTAGAGAAATTTATTTCTCAGTTCAAGTGTTATTCTTGGCCTTCTGATTTTCCTTGGGAAATTATACATTGTTTCTAAGTTTTCACCTGTATTTGCAAAATCTTCAGCATGTCTCATCAATATATCTTTCTTTTTTTTCTTTATTTCTTTATTTGTTCATTCATTCATTCACTTGGGTTTATTTGGTTCATTTCTCTGTGCAGTCTTGGCTGTCCTGGAGTTTGCTCTGTAGACCATGCTGGCCTCAAATTCACAGAGATCCGCATGCCTCTGCCTCCCAAGTGCTGGAATTAAAAATGTGCATCACCACTGCCTAGTTCATTTATTTCTACAGTGTTTTTCTTTTTTGAAATTTTGCGCTTTTTATTTTGTGTACTTAACCATATTTTCCCCTTTTTGAGTACATCAAAGTGGTCTGCCTCATTGGCTGCTTTCCCCAGCGTTCAGGGTTTTAATGTATTGATTCTGTTTCCCACAACTCCAGCATCATTTGTTTTGTTTATGACCTCTTACTCTTTGCTTCGTTGCTCTTTTTCAAGTTTTTAGGCTTGAGTAATTCTTTTATCACCAATAATTGTTTAATATTATTCATTGTCTAATGAATTCCACAGATTCTCATTTATACTCTCTGACTTTTCCAGAAATTTATCACTTTAGTTTGTCGCTCCCTTTTAACTGAAACTGGTTTTCTAATAAAAATGCTTCTAATGTTGCTTTAAAAAATAACTCACCATGAAAATAAACATAAGAATTACAAACCAAAATAAAGCATAAAAGAAGCCAATACAAAAGCCATAGGGGGAAAAGAAATAGCTCACAGTTTCATTATATCACGTTTATAAAGCATCATTTATAGCAGTACCACCCTATGAATTTCCCCACTGTCATCAAGCACATGATCAACTTTATGAACAGTTATAACGAAGAGCTGTACCCTAATGGCATCATGCCTTGGAGCTCAAAGCACGGCTGTGACTTCCACTTTACTGGCCACACTAGTGCATTCTCTGCTCTCATCTTTCATCCACTGAATCTTCCATTGAGGTTGTTACATTGTTATCCTGTTACAAATGTCTGCATATATCTCCACACACTTTTGTAGATTTTACTTCCTGAGTGTGGTATCTGTTATTTGACACATAGATCTTTACAGATGTTTAATATTCATTACAACATCAGCTTTCTGTACTAAATAGAACTATTTCATATTTAAAGCTTTCGGGGCTGAATTTCTCTGACATAAGGCTTGTTGATTCTACTTTCTGATTGTTTTAGTTGGTCTGTTGTATTTTTGTTCATCCTTCAATATTTTAATTCATTTGCCCTTACTGGTCATTAAAATGCACATATGATGTATTTGACATCCCAATCATTTTAATGGTGCAGTTCAGTGATCTTGCATGCATTTGTAATGCACACCCAGAACCACTACTTTCTCCACAGTGTCATCTTGTATCCATTAAATAGTAACTCCCTAGTTCCCCTCCCTTGCCCCTTGGAAGCACTGCTCTACTTTCTGTTTCTACGAGGGGTCTAGAGAAGAGGACACACAGTTTTGTTTTCTCCAGTCTGTTATCCCACTGACCACACTGCTCCCACAGGAACCAGTGCTGCTCTAAACTAAATAATCTTCCTTTTTTTTTAAAGGATGAATAACTTAATGGGTAACTTCTAGAACATTCAGAGAACTAAAACATAGCATAAGCAAGCTGCCCAATCCAAGACTGGTGAAGGACTTGAATGTGTAATTCTCCAAAGAAAACACACCAGTAGACAGCAGCTACTAGCAAAGACACCACCACCAGTTATAGGACGTGGTATAGGATGGCAGCAGGGTGATGGGTGAATGAGGCTTTTTGCCCGCACTGCCTGGAGTATGGAAGCTGACCCATTGATGGTGGAGGAGCTGGAGATGACGAGAAAAATCTCAGTGGCTGCAGACCAGAGGGAGACAGCTCTGGAAATGGTCCAGGTAGCTGGAACGGGTGCTCGGTGCATGGCACTTATATTGTACAAGGAGCATCATGCCCTAGGAAACTCTACAGTTCATGATCATGAAGAACCCAGGAGTGAAATTTTGTGAGCACAGGATGAATTTGCATGTTCAGACCTAGGGTGTTCTTCCAGACATCGAGCAATTTCAGATACCCCTGACAGCTCATGAATACCTGCAGGCATGTGTTTGTCCCCTGCACAGGACAATGAGAAAGACTACTCTCACGATAGTGCAGAGCTCAGAACTGGAGTTTGTGATCACAACACACTCTGTTCTGTAGGAACGTAAGGAGTGAATTAGAGATATATAACAAAGGCCAGGTCCAACACTAAGGCTTCAAGGCATGTATAATAAGCAACCAGAGGAGATTAAATGGAATGATTAAAAAAAATGGGAGGGGAGGAGAATGACTAGGAAAAGGAGCAAGAGGAGGAGGGAGGAGGAGAATGGCAAAATCTGGCAAACACAGAGTAACCAACAGCCTGGCAGTTACAAACCCAAACATCAATAATCCTCATTTTTTTCTATGACTTTAGTCACAACTGCATATGGGACACTCACCAGCACACGTGGCATTTCAGCCATGAAACCAGCAGCAAACAATTTAGAATAATTAGAAGTATACCAAAAACATTCTCCGGCCATGACAGAATAAACGAGAAATCAACAATGTAAAAAGACATGGGGAAAGTTGTCTAAATATGTGCTGATTTACACAGCATGCTTCTCAGTGACCCACTGTGTGAAGAAGTCAAAAGAGGAATTTGGAAATATTTTTAATTGAAGAAAAATAAAAACACATGCTGAAATTGTGGGAGAGAAACCAGTACTTGCATGAAAAGTCATAGCATTAAATGGCTGTATGAAAATGCTTGAAATTATTCATACATGTGAGAAAAGAATTGAAGACATAAAATATCAAGGTAGTGCAATGAAGAAAACATAGTGATTGACTTAGAATGACAGTCCAGCGGAAGTGTGGTCCCTAAGTGTGGCCAGAGGACTCGGCTTCATCACCAGGAAGTGTTGTTGGTGGGGGAGGGGGAATAGGCAAGTGAGATGCAAGGATGAGAGGAGAGCATGTGGACATGAGGAGACACAACGGGATGGGCAAAGACAACAAAGGCAATGAGGACATACCCTAACAACAATTCTCCCCCAATTAAAGCAATAACACAAAGTTGCCCTGGTGACAGCCCGTGGCAGTGCAGCTAGGCAAGATCTCCCCTTAATTCTCAGCCACTGTTTTATTCATAATAATGTTCTCCTCATCCTCAGGCCTCAGGCACCACATCAGAGGAGCCAACCAACTGGGGATCAGAAGTACCCTCCCCCCCACACCCCGCACACACACACACACACACACACACACACACACACACACACACACACATGCACACAACCAAATGTTCTCCATACCGAACACTCGCAGGCCCTTGTCCCGATGGCTTCATCAATATAGCCAAGTATTTCCACAACATTCATAATGTATTGGTGCTTATAAATCATCTGGATGCGCTTCCAAGTGTCAAGACAATTGCCAGGTTACACACATAGTGCCACATGAGCATCTCTGGGCCTGGGTACCACTGGCATCCAGAGATCCTGCTTCTGCAGAAACCGAGGGCAGATGGTCTGCTGCTGTTCTTCCTCTCTGACCTAAGACGAGACTTTCCTCTTCCAAAGCCATGGCTTTCCTCTCCTCCAGCCCAAAGAGCCTCAGCAGTGCATATGGGGTGCCAGATTCATGGGTGCTCTGGACAGCCTGGGGGACGGCTGTTTTTCAAGTAAGTGTAAAATGGAAGAAGCCATGAGGGGTGGAAGGTAGCATTAAAAATGACAGAAATTAGCCGTGTCGTCCACACCCTCCTTCATGGAAGAGCAGCAAAGAGGCAGAGCCTTCAGTTCCATCTGGCGCTTCCCTTGGGGCCAGCACTGGCGATCACTGTGTCTCCCCTGCCTCCCGCAGCCTGAGTCACTCCTTGTAATTTTTAGAAAAAGCTAAATGGAAGTAGTACAGCAGCTCCTAATTCAGCTTGCCCCTAAAAATTAAAAGAGCTGGCAGGTGGAACCCAGGGCTGCTGGATTCCTGGGTATAGGAACAATTCTGTTCACACTCCCACCCTGGGTGTGAGTGTTCATTGTGGGGATGGCTTCCTGGAAGCCTGCCCCTGCTGCCTGAGTCCCTGACATGGCACAGGTTTGGGAGATGAGCTGAATAAATGAATCAAAGAATAAATGAATGAATGAGCATCCACTCTGAGGGCAAACAGAGCTCCAGGGGCTAGTTGGCTAAAGGCCAGGCAGAGACATCTCTGTGAGAACCTGACAAGCCAAGAAAGGCTCCTAGACTCTCAGGCTTGAAGGAGGGACAATGTACCAATGGTCCCGATGCCTTTGCCCACAGCTCCGCCCTATTCCAGGTTACCTGTGTGTCATCCATGGGCCATCGGTGCATCTGTGAGGTGCGCACAGCCTTGTTGGAGCAACCAGGAAACAGCACACGGGAGTAGACAGGAGATCCCAGCATGTAGACTGAACACACACAAGGGAAGCTTTCCTCCACTGTCACTGAGGGCAACTATAGCATAAACTGGATCAGAATGGCCCAGTTAAGGAATCCCAGCCCACAGCAAACCATCATCTCTCTGAGACCAGGGCAGGTGACTTCCCTCAGCTCCACCTGCCAGTTTCCAAACTGACTCTACCCAGGAATGGCTCATAAAACCTAAGTTGTTCCAACATTTAAAAATAAATGCAGCCACTGATGGACTGTTTGTTTTAGCGGCAGGAAAGTGGATGTGGTCACAGCAAAAATTTCTTGCTGTGAATTGAATCCAAAGAAAATGGGGGTGCACTCATTCAACTCTTGAGCCACTGATATCCAGGCTATCCATGAGGCCTGGGAAGCCATCTTGCAGATCCACCTACAAATGGTGACAGCCTCTGTCATGGCACTGAAGTTGGGGCAGCCACCGACTTTGTAGGGACCATATGGAGTCCTGCAACACTGGAGGCCACCAGGACCTCATTCCACATTTTAATCAAATATTAGACTTGTCACCTGCAACATGGTGGGCTGATCTGTCAAGCCTGTGTCCGTGGGTAATTCTAATAAACTCCCACATACCTAGTGTGATTTAAATCATAGAAATTCATGCTCCTCTACTCCTAAGAGCCTAAAGTCTGAGATGCAAGATTGGATGGGGCTGGTTGTCCCGGTAGGCATTCTTGGTGTTCTGTGGCTTTGCACATGTCACTTGGTGTTTCCTCTGCCTTCACTCAGCCTTCTCCATGTGTGCCTGTGTCCAGATTTTCCATCTGTAGAAGGACATGGTCACATTGGGGTAGGACCATGCTTTTCCTCTAAGCCCTTATCCTAGCCTGGTATACCTGCAAAGACCCTGTTTCCAGGAGGTCCCCTTGTGGATCAGAGTCAGCTCTTGTACCACTGTGGTTTTTCTCATTTTTCTCTCAGGGTCTTAGAGGTTGGATTCTTTAGAATTGTCCTTGTTTTCATGTTGCTACAGATAAAATCAAGGGCTTTGCTAATGCTAGGTAAGGACTCTACCAGCAAGCAGAATACCCAGCCTGACTTATTTCTGAAGTTAGAGGAAAAGCACCAGGCTATGTTGCTTTCTCGGTTTGATCACAGCATATTTTCCCCCACAGAAAAGAAGAGTGCAAGCAATGATAAGTATGAGAGAGTGTCTGTTCTGGACAGAATCCTTCAAAACTTAGGAAGATCTGAAGGCAGCCTGGAACTAACAGGCAAGTGGCCCTAATCTGCAGGTCCCTGCTGGGCTGAGGTGAAGTAAGAATGCCACTTGCCCCTGAGGCTCTTGCTAGCAGCCCTTGGATGAGCTTGAGTTTTGCAGGGGTATTTGACTGGATGAGTCAAAATTAAGAGTTCCTAGGCTAAGTCATTGAAGGGTCCCCTCCTCAGCCAAATCAAAAGTATAGTCCTCCCTTTCCTAGAAACAGGACCTCAAAGTGATTGTCACCCATACCATGGTCCGAAGCACCATGCATGAAGGCCTGTACCATTCATGACAAGGACATCTGTTGGGCCTTCTCACTTGGGAGGAAACCTTCCTTTGGAACAGAGTTCTTCTACCTCTCACCCTCACATGGCAGAGTCCCATCCCACCCCACCCCTGTAGCTTTGCCTCTTTCACACTTCCCGTGTGGAAGAGGAATTACTTGATAGTGGGAGTGATGTCTCAGCAAGAACACAGGCTCTCAAGTGAGCCCAGCCTGGGTTTGAATCCCAGCGTGGCCATAATGAGAAACTTAAATAAATCTTAGCCAGTGAGCCAAGCCCTGATCTGTAGCTCTGGTTACTCAAAGTGGTGCAACTTCAGCTACCTCCTGGGTGTCAAGATGGAGTTTAGTGATGCTGTTAAGACATGAGACAGAGTCTGGCTCCAGGGTAACTCTCAGGACCCATCTGCCTGTGCCTGGGGGAGGGCCACATCCGATAACAGCCAGAGGGAGATGATGAGGGTTGGTAGATACCCAAAGACACACTTGACAAACTGCACAAACCAACAGACTGTCTTGGTTTGGTTAGTTCCACGGGGCCTGTAGGGCCCTGTCCCTTATACCAGTGTCTCTGAGGCTCATTTGGAATTTGTAGCAGCTTTGGAGGGACTTGATGTTTTCATCAGCCCTTTCCATCATAACCCCAAACCCACCCCCCATATGCCCTTCCTCCAGCTCCATAAACACTGTCCTTTACAAAGTGTACCACAGAACCCCAAAGTCACAGGTTTCTGTCAAGAAAGTACTTCCTTCCAGTGTAGGGGCTGTAATCCATTGGGGGTGTGGTCCCTCAATCTGGGCAGGCAGGGAAGATGGCCATCTTGGTCACTATATGTCCCTGAGAGCCTCATAGTGACCCTAGGAAGATTGTAAAGCTCCTGATGCTGCAAGTAGAGGTCCTGCCTGCCCAGCAATTTTTTTTCTGTAACTGACCACATACTTGGAAAGATTGGGCTGTTTGTTTTCAACCTTGCCCAGGAACTATGGGGTGTGGAGCAGCAGGAATGACAGGCACACACAGCTTCTCAAGAAAATCTCCTCTTTCCAACAGAAAGCATCTTTTAGGAGAAGAGGACCAAGCCCAGGAGACCAGTATGGCACAGGTGCGTCTGAGCTCATTAGAAAGGCATGGAGCTCCACGCTACCCATCCTTAGAGAATGCACACACTCATTGTTATCCATTCATAAAAGAAAATAGTTTTTTTTCATGTAACCCTAAGTTGAGTTATTTGGGTGTTAAAGGGTATGGTTTTGCAGGGTTCTGCCTTGTTTATAAGATGCCACAGCAGACTGTCTTCTCCCTTTCCACTTCCACAGTCCAGTCACACCAGGTCCTAGATTATTTTCAAAAGGAGAAAGCCCTTCGACTTCATCAATCTCCTCTCCACAATGAGACCAAAACCAATGCAAAATGTTGCATCTTGGTGTCATTAAGACTTTTGGTGATTCTCAGGCATCCTCTGAGAGCTGTAGAGATGTGCAGCCACTCCTCTTGTGGACATTCATACATAGTTAAAAACTAAATCCATGAGCAAAAGCAAAGATATCAGTATCAGCTAGGAAAACACAAGAGATGAGCTGTCTGCAGGTTGTCAGTGTAAAACGTGCTTCCAGGGATGAGAAGTCTTCACTGGCCCCAGACCTGACGGGACGTCACTCCCACAAGGAGACAGTGTCACACCGTTAAACAGGCACGGTGGGCACTCGTGGGCACTGCTACCCTAGATGTGAGCTACAGTTGGAGGGACGTATTGTCACAAGCCACAGTCTGGGGAAGATTTTGAAAAATATGATTGCAGAGGTTTTTTGGTATGTACTTCATGGATACATGTGGCAGATTCTCCCACTTGGAGCATGAAAGGTGAATTCTGCAGCTGGATATACTGTCCGACAGAGTCAATTGCAGCTTATTAGTCACATAGTTCAGGTACGAATTGCTTGTCTGTCTGTCACCAATAGAGGTGTGTCAAAGTTCACAGAGGTTCACTCCTTAGTTCTGCCATCTTGTCAAGGCTCCTGTCATCTGTTACCCTTCTCTCTGTAGCATACCATGGTGTATCTTTCTTGGTGATATATGGGACCTTTGGCTTGAAATAGGAATATCCAGACCATTTATGTTTAATGTGATCCCATCCTGGATATGTTTGTTTCGACTACTTGTCATATGCACACCTAAATTTTCCCTTCATTCATCTCACTTTGATAAGGCAAGCATTTTATTCCATTTCCCTGCATTACACTGTTAATTATAGATTTCATCATTGTTTTGAAGGTTGTGTTAGAGAATATAATATGCATCTCTGACTCACTATAATCTAACATAACTTCAACATGATAAAATACATAATTAGAGATGTAATGAAAGATATGTGTAAACAGAATGCTTAGCTCCATTTAATAATTGTTTTGCATCATTTTCTCACATTTTAGAAATGAATATATTTTGAATACTAAAAGATTATTAGTTTATGCACTTTACAGTCTTGGAGATTTACACAGGCCAGGTTTTCATTTCCCTTCACTCTGCCATACACATTCAACACTTCTGAGTATCATGTATCCCTGCAACCAACAGATCCCTGTAGCATTTACTGTGGTCCACCAGGAAAGGTCTCAAGTGTTGTGGGTATCTGGAAACGTGTGTTTTATCTTTGCTTTCTGAGTGATGTTTCCAATGGGCATAGATATAGGTGTGGGTCTGCCGTGGTTTCCCTTCCCACCACTGCCCGAATCCCACTATTTCTCTCAGTCTGCTGTCACATGTGACTTAGACCCCTGTAATAGTAGGGGGCCTCTGCCTTTTTAACTCTTCATTTTCACCCCAGCTCACTACTGAGATGAGCCTGGTGAGCCTAAGTCCTCCTCCTGCATGGGCCTTGGCCTCTGGGCCACCCATTTCTGCTCACCTTCACTCAGGATAACAACTAGGGACTCATAAAACACTCAAGACCACAGGCAAATTGGGTGGCAGGTGTCACTTCATGCACACTCTCTCTTGGGATCTTGGCACCTGGCACCCTGTGCTCTAACACGTTCGACTCACATTCCTCTCCTTGCTTAGGAAGCGCTGCCAGCCCCGAACACCTGAGCACCAAATTGGCAAATAACCTCAGGTGGTGGGCCCAGCGCCAAGCCTACACTAGTAAATTCCCATCCTCTGTGAGTCTTGATCCCTAGTGTTTTATCTTGGTAGTTTCCTAATGTGTGTGGATAGGCAGGCAGGCAGGCAGACAGACAGACAGATGAGTGGACAGGTTCTGTTTTCATCCGAGTAACTAGTCAGCTACAAACCAGTCCACCATTCCAGAAAATGAAACTCTATATTGACCTAGTAGCTCAGATAATAGAAACAAATGATGAAAGAAAAATAAAAATGTTCAAAGGAAAACTCAGGAAACATGGCTGTTTTCACACCTAGTGTGTATGTGGGCAGAAGGTGGGGGCGGAGGATGGAGGGGAGCACTGACAGAAGAGACTCCCTCCAGGAAGTGGTGTGCTTTTGTATCTGGCTCACATGAGGGAGAGCTGAATCACTCCCTAAAGGGAAAGAGGTTCCCCCTGGGGCGTTCATTGACTGCCCACCATAGAAGAGATTCCCTAGGGTGTTCATTGACTGCCATGGACCAAGAGCCCCTAGAAGAGCAACCATCACCCTCAAGCTTCCTGAGACTGCAATGGCTGGAACCCTGGCTAGATGTGCTGTAGGGCTAGCTCGGTGTGCCCAGGGGAAGGGAAGGAGACCCTTACCTGTGCTGCTGCAGCTCAAACTAATGAAGTGGGAGGGCTGAACGGGATGGGAAATAGCAACTCAGAGCAGTGGAGGACCAGTATGCCGGGAATACCGACATTCGCTAGCAATGATGGTGGAAGCCACGAGGAAGCGAAGGCAGAATCCCTCTCCTGCTCAGGTGCAAAACAAGTGATTCCCAGGCACTATGGGATGTGTCATTATTTTAGTTTTCTCCTTTAACTGTGTGGCTCTTTTTGAGATTTGGCTTTTTTGAGACAGGGTTTCTCTGTATGTAGTGATAGCTGTCCCAGAACTCTCTCTGTAAACCAGGCTGGCCTTAAACTCACAGAGATCTGCCTGCCTCTGCCTCTGGAGTGCTGGAATTAAAGTCATGTGCCATGGCTGCTCGGTGTAACTGGCTCTTTTAAAAGGCAACAAAATAATTGGTGAAGAACTCTTAACTACAAAGCACAGCACAGATGCTGTTTGATTTACTTATAACACGTTCCATCTCCCAAACCATTCTTAACCAGGGAATGAGAAGCTGCCTCCTGCACAGCATAGCCAAGCAGCTCAGGGCACAGCACTGTAGGCTTTTACACCAGGGTCTCATGGTCTGTGCCCTTAGAGAACCATTCTGTGTACTACCATCCTGAGAAAATATCAAAACTCAAGAGACCATTCTTGCTGGACATGTATCATAAACTCAAAACATTGTAAGTCCAAAACCATCAGCATATGTGCACTTACTAACAAGCTTCTCCCCGATGACATGCAGATGCAACTGTGTTTCCAGGACTGAGCTCCAGGTCCTCCTGCCAGCAAAGCCTCACTGTGATGCACACACTCATTTATCACATGTGCATATAGTAATCTCTGCAAACCAAGTGTCCAGGCTGTATGAGCACTGGCTTTGCCAGGTCTATCCAGCATCACTGATGACTACAGGTCTGGGTAGGTTTTCCTGTCTTCATGGTTGTGACAGTTAATTTCATCAGCTCGACTGGACTG